ATCTATGTTCTATACATTACAAAGATTTTGTATCCTAACAATTGTACTGAATCTCTTGGACTTGAAAACAAAAATAGTGATAGTTGTTTAATTTTATTAAGGGAACCTTCACTTTTTGATATGTTTTGTTCAGAAATGGGATCTGTGGATGAGACTAATGATTCCCCTCCCTATGCCATAGGAACAGAGCTGTGATTACTCAGGTATATCTCTGCAACTCTGTCTTCACCAATGCAATATATGAGATTTGTGTAACTTCTGCCTCTGAGGCATGGACTCCTCTGCTCTCTTTTCCTCTTCCTATGGGCTAGAACACAATGTGCCTGGGACATATCTCTGAGACACACAAATGAGAACAACCCCCCCGCGGGATGAGGAAACAGTAACATTTAAGGTACATGGTCACTTAATGATCTCCTGGGACCTGCTGCACCAACCTAGACTACTGACTCAGGGTTTAATTTAAGAGAGAAGTAAATGTCTATGCTTTGTAAACCACTGCATTGTTGGGTCTTTGTTAAAACAACTTAGCCTTTCCATCAAATAACATGTATATGTTGCATCGTACTGAAGTTACTGATTGTTACAAGGAAAGTACTAATTAAATTATATGAACTCAGGAATGGGATTCATATTTTTCTATTTGAAAAGCAATCTCATTTGGCATTTTGAAAATGATATTTCACCAAAAGAATTTGCATATAGAACTCATTTTTTTGACATTTTAAACTAACTGAATTTGGATCAACAGGGAAAAAGTAACAATATATTTAAAGATGTTTAATATATCCAACACTAACAAATTTTAAGTAATCACTGTGGTTACTATGTGTCAACAATTTTGTAACACATAAAGAGAAAATTAATGAAGACATTTTGAATAGAAAAATGCTATTAATTATATTACAAGTCTCTTATAAACTTTAATCATTTCAAAAAGAGAAATTTGAAATATTGAGGAAAAAATTGATAAAAGATCTGCTTTCCAAAATCCTGAATCCATATTAAAGCTGATACTCAAAGAAGAAAGTTAATCACTAATATTTTATTTTAATACATTGAAGAATGATTATAAGTTTATAACCATTTTAGATTAAGATTAAAGAAGACGGCCGGGCGCGGTGGCTCAAGCCTGTAATCCCAGCACTTTGGGAGGCCGAGACAGGCGGATCACGAGGTCAGGAGATCGAGACCATCCTGGCTAACACAGTGAAACCCCGTCTCTACTAAAAAATACAAAAAAAAAAAAAAAAAAAAAAAAACTAGCCGGGCGAGGTGGCGGGCGCCTGTAGTCCCAGCTACTCGGGAGGCTGAGGCAGGAGAATGGCGTGAACCCGGGGGTGGAGCTTGCAGTGAGCTGAGATCCAGCCACTGCACTCCAGCCTGTGCAACAGAGCGAGACTCCGTCTCAAAAAAAAAAAATAAAAAAAAATAAAAAATAAATAAAATAAATAAATAAATAAATAATAAAATAAAAGATTAAAGAAGACTTTCCATTGCTAAACAGAGTTCACTGTTGTTATTAATAGCATTCACAGCAACTTATTTGTGTGAGCCAGAATTTTTAGCAAGAAAATTAAAAACATTGGGAAGAAATAGGCATCACAGTACAAACCACTGTGGTTGTACAGGTAGCATCGTCCTCATGCCCGCAACCTAGAATGAATTTAGGAACAGGCAAGTATGCCTGCTGCAATGAATGAAATAATACTTAATAGTAACTATTATAGTTAACAGTAAGTACTGTTTTATACCTAAAACTGTTGTTTCAGTTTTTTAACATATCTATACATGTATGTGTATACTAGATGACAATGCAAAGCATATTTTCTACTGTGAGTTATAGAAAGACAGTAGAAAAGTGTTTACTTTCCTTCATAGCCATCAACTGGGTTGTTGATCCGTGTGATTTCACTGGCTCTTAATCCACTGCAACCAGGCTGCAGTCATCATTTCTCCCGGGTCTGGCTTCCACGGCATCCTAACTCTCTCACGTCCATTATACCATTTTCTGTGTTTATCTTTGTCCTTTCTCTGGATGTTGACCTAGTTGCCTGGATACTACTTTTATTTCATTTTTGTGCCACTTTTTAAAAAAAATAACACTTCTGATTATAAAAGTAAAAATATTTAATGAAAAATAAACTCACCCATAAGCCCATCAAAGATAATCACTTAATAATTTGTGTGTACTTTTCATAGATATGTATGTATATATGTATGCATTTTTGAACTTATATATGTCTATATCAAATATTTAAATAATAAAATTGGAATCATGTAGTATACAGAAGTACATGGCATTTTACAATTTGCTTACTTAAGTATATAGTAAAAGCCATCTTTTTTTTCTTTTTTCTTTTCTTTTTTTTTTTTTTTGAAATAACGTCTTGCTCTGTCACCCAGGCTGGAGTGCAGTGGCGCGATCTCAGCTCACTGCAACCTCCGCCTCACTGTTCAAGCGCTTCTTGCGCCTCAGCCTCTCGAGTAGCTGGGATTACAGGCATGTGCCACCATATCCAGCTAATTTTTGTATTTCTACTGTAGGCGGGGGTTTTCACATGTTGGTCAGGCTGGTCTTGAACTCCTGACCTCAGGCGATCCACCTGCCTTGGCATCTCAAAGTGCTGGAATTACAGGTGTGAGCCACTGTCCCCGACACCACTTTTTATATTATTCAATATTTCTCTCCTATTCTTTTTAAATTAGAAACAATTTTTTTTTTCTTTTAGTAGAGATGAGGTCTTGCCATGTTGCCCAGGCTCCTCTCGAACTCCTTAGCTCAACCAATCTGTCTGCCTCAGCCTCCAAAAGTGCTGGGATTACAGGCATAAGCCAACATGCCTAGTCCCCCACATTATTCTTAAAGACTATATAATATGATGCTTTATGAATATATCATGGGTTATTTATCTATATCCTTGTTGCATATTTAGTTTTCTCTTTTTTTAGAACTGAAAGACACACTGAAATCCTTGTAGAAAGATCCTTATCCATTTCCATAATCACTTCCTTAGGATGAATTCCCAAAAGTGGAATTGTTAGTCAAAGCTATACCTATGCTACATACACATCCAGGCTCCCTCCCTCCAGGAATGTAGTATCAAGTTACACTCTGACCAGCACCCAAGACATGAGAGGACCTTGTTGCTCAGCTCCTTCAATAACATTTAAAAAATCTCTTAGTCAATTTGATTAATAGAAAATAGCATCTTATTTAAACGTTTGTGCTCTTTATTAGGCACTAGAACATTTTTCACAAGTTTATGGGGTTATATGTATTCCCTCCTCTGTACACTGACTTTATATTTATTGGCTTTTTTTAAAAAGAAGGAGCATCTGTTAATTCTTTGTTAAAGCTTTTTTTTTTTAAACAAAGCTATTCAAACTTTATATATCTGACATTATTATAAATATTTTCCTAGTTTGCAGCTTAAGCAAAATTGTTTTTAATTATAAAATAGTAAATACTGTAAAATAGACTAAAAAATATAAATCCACATATAATTAAGAGTTAGAGTTATCATCTTTTCTTCCTTCAATCCACCCCTCAGAGTGTCATTTGCTTTTTAATTTTGTATGGAACTTTTGACATAAAGGTCTTCAATATTCAGATAGTCAAATCTATTGACCTTTTTTCCTTCAGTTTCTGCCTTAGTTTGTTAGAAATAACCTTAATGTATTAAGATAAGTATATTCAGTTATACTTTCTTCTAAACTTTTCATCATTTAATTCTTAAATTTAATTCTTTAATACATTTGTAATTTATTTTGCTACATGATATAAAGTTGTGATCTATGTATTTTTCCAAATAGTTAACAATTTTCTTTAACCCAAGTATGCTATCGGCTGCAGTGTTTTGACTTTTTTTTTTTTTTAACCTTTCTGTAAATGATGGCTTCGTTGGGCGTGAGGGTAGTGGTAGAAAGATCCTTGGGGCTGGACTTTGTAGGTTTTGCCTCCTCAGTACCAATAGTGCCGAAGGAGAAGTCTAACATCCACATGTGCTGGACACCCTCCGATGGCACTCCCTCCCCTGGCTGACCCCCCACACCTCGGATTTCGGACTGCTCCTCTCAGCCTCCTCCCTGGGCCCTTGCTCCTGTACCCATCATTTGAGAATTAGGGGGGTCCTCACTCCCTCTCTTGTGCAACCTCTGTCAAACTCGAGGCATCAACAACTCCCTATATTTACCACCCTTCAAATACTGGCATCCCTCCCAGAGCCCTATCCTGAGTTCCTGTCCAAACAAACAAACAAACAAACAAAAACAAAAAACACCTACAAGTATCTCATTATCATTTCAATCTGAACGTATTCAAAACTGAACTCATATATCCCCCCTAATCCAAACCCTTTTTATCTCCTCTTCTTTAACTTAGAGAATAGGGCCACCATCCTCCCAATTTCCTAAACAAGAAACCTGGAAGCCATCCCATCTACGCCGTCTCTCCCCTATTCTGTCATTAAATCCTATTGCTTCCACCCTTCAATATCTCTTGACATACTTTCCTTTATTCCCCTCCTACCCACCCTTGGCCTACTTGGTTTCTAGATTCCTGCAGAACCTTTGTTCTCCCAGCTGCCAGTGTGCCTCTCTGCAGTCCATCATCCTCACTTCCACCACAGAACATTTTCAAAGAAAAAGGAAACACGGGGTGCCCTGTCACATTGCCTTCCCCACCGCCCGCGTGAGCCTCCTGGGGCTCCCCGTTTTCATCCCAATGAGCGGCCCTCTGCTGTGGCTGCCCTTGTGCACACCATTTTTCAGAGGGCAGCAATTCAGCACAGGAGAGGACGGGAAGAGGAGGGGAGAGAGGTTTTTGGAAGCGGCTTTGGATTCAGGACGTGTTTGGGGACCCTGGTCTGGGAAGTAACTCAGCCTCTTTGGGCCTGGTTTCCTGGGGCGTATCAAGTTCTACCCCAGCCCCACCTCAGCCCACCGCCCCGCCGCGTGTTGAAAGCTTGACTGGAGGTTCTCTGCAGGCAGGGGCACAGTGTATGCAACGCTGCACAGGGAGTGGCCCAAAAAAGCTGTTCGTGACTGAACGCAAGAATTTTCTGGTTAGCAGACGACGGGATGCAGCGGGCGCGGCGCCTGCACCACGCTGGGGGTCCGGGTGTCAGGGCTGGGCTGCTCCGACTCCGCCCGCGGCCACCGTCGGCGCAGGGGGTGCGAGGACCGCGGGGAGGCCCCTCCCCGCCTGCTTCCCGCCGCCCGCTGCCGAGCAGGCGCTCCCTCCCGGCGGCTGGCGCGCCAGCTCCGGACATCCGTCCCCACCTTTCCGCGAAGCACTGCGCCCGCGGGGCCTGCCTCGGCGGTCAGGTCAGCGGCCTCCAGCCTCGCTCTCCAGTCCCAGCCCGCAGCCGCCGCCGAGCGGAGCGCACCTGACCCAGGCGGGCGGGGCGGCGGGCGGGGCGCGGGGCTGACGTGGCCCGCGGCATGGAGCGGGCGTGATTCATCAGCAGCCGTGCCGGGGCGGCATGGGGGCGCGCGCGGCGGCCGCCTAGGCGCCCAGGGCCAGGCAGCGGCGGCGTCCACGGCCCGGCTCGCCAGCGCTTCTCTCCCTGTGGGCGGCGGCCCGGCGCCTGGAAGGTCAAGATGGAAGAGATCCTGAGGAAGCTGCAGAAGGAGGCGTCCGGGAGCAAGTACAAAGCCATCAAGGAGAGCTGCACCTGGGCCCTGGGTAAGCGCCCGGTACCTGCTTGCCGCGGAGGGAGGGCCGCGCGGCCGGGGCTGAACCCGCGCCTCCGCGCGTGGGGCTTTCGCGGAGCGTCGGTCATGGGTGCCCTTCGCGCGATTGCGAGAGTCGCCTCGGGAAATTGATGTGGGATTTGAGAGTCTTGGCTCGGGCGTGGACATCAGCCGCCGCCTCTCCGGTCTCTTTCACTCTCCAAAACCTTCCCCGGGAACCGCTGTCTTCCCCTCCTGGTGGCCCCCTTCTCCCGGTCCCGGCGCTGGGGACGATGCTTCCCCATCGCCGAGTTAGGCAGGACCCGGAGCCGGTGCGAAACCTGGGGCCTGATAGCGAAGCGCCTCTGGGGAAGAGGGAAGTTAAACCAACAACCCTGATGTCGAATCCTTGGCGAGTGGAACCAGGAAGGAAAGGCTTGTTTGGTTTGATTTTCCTGATAGAGGTCAGCTTGCTAAGTGTTAGCTTTCATGGTTATTGCACTTGAAAAATAACATGCGGGCGGGGATCATGTTACCTCTGCAATTCTGTTGTGGTCTGCCGGTCAGACAGGTGGGATTTTAGGTTTGTGAGCTGTGCTAGCATTGAAATAAGTTCCAGGGAGCAAATTTGTGTTTCTCTTCAGACTCAGGTTGCAGAACTCAGCAGCGGAAAAAAACGGAAAGACATTTCAATTAGGCTGGGTTTGGGCAATCAAAATGGTCAGAATGGTAATGCAAATAGATCAGAAGCATACTTCGGGTGATGGTGCTGCTTTTTAGAAAGGAAAGGCCAAGAAGAAGCCAGCGCAGCTAGCTCTGCGGGCTCCTCGCTTTGCCTTGCCGGAGCCTGATGTGATGTCTCAGTTGCCACTCAATTGAAAAATGAAATTGACTCCCTTTCCCTTGCAACCAAGAACCATCACTGTCTGTCATGACACTGTGTGTGCGTTGATGCAGCCTGAGATAGAGAAGAGCCTTTAGCAGGCTTTCCACTAAATGTAAAATTTTGAGAGTGGTTTAGGTGACTCTTAATATGTAGATGGTCTTAATTCACATGTTTGGGTGTGTGTACAATTATAGCAGCATCTTTTTTTTTTAAACCTGTGCCTATCGTCACAAAATTGTCTAGAATATTGTCTAGGAAGTTTGTCTTGTAGGTAGAACCAGCACTTGACCATTTTAGCTTACTGTTAGAGAAAAATGGACCAGAAATCTGAGAGAGCATCAAGGCTCTTAAAGCCACAGTACTATTTTTGCGTTGCCATTGTCATTCAGCAGAGTGGTTCAAAGCTAGATTCCAAAATGCCTCTAATGAAGGGTCACAGATGGCTGGGTAACATGATAAAGCAGGGCCCAATTGTGCTTTAAACATGCCATTCCTAGTATTCGTTATTATTTTGCTGCAAATTAGGCAGAGTTAGATAAACAGGGAGGAGGAGATTAATCTAGTATTTTAATAAGTTTGAATACTGACATCAACGTCTTATTAAGTTAAACCACAACGTTGCTGAGTTTAGGTCCTTTAAAGCCATTGGGGAGGCTGAGCATTGAGGCAGGTAGATTATTCGAGTCAAGTCTGAAAAAAACCAGCCTGAGTGGATGTGCTTCCTTTCCCAGTGATTGTTCTGTAATTAGCAAGACAAGACGGAAGTGCATGAAATAGTTAAATAATAGTGCAGGGCATTCATTATGCAGTTGGATTGAGCAAACCAGGAAAACAAGTCAAAGAAGGGAGGATAAATGTGGGGCCCATGGATTGGGGGAGAATTGGTGTGAGCTGGTGGGGCTTTTGAAGCAGATTTCACTTGAACAATGGGGAAGCTATGAGTTCCTTCTTTCCTTTGCTTCTTTATTTAGCAAACATTTATTAAGACCTCCCTGGTACTGAGCAGTGGGATATATGGATGAATAAAATGTCCCCTATAAGGAATTTGTTGGAAGAGCATGCTGGAGACATGAACAAAGGCATAGAGATAGGTTTTCCTGTTGTCTTTCCCACTCCAGTCCATTTCCACTGCCCATCACTGTTTAGATTACAAAACACCTGTCACTCTTCAACCCCCATAATTTATTTCTAGATTAATGTGTAAATTCCTCAGAATGCTCTTCAGAATCTAGCCCCAGCCTCTGTTCTTGTCACTCCCCAACCAAGATTCAACGATCTAGTGGCAGTCAACTGCAGCACTTTGTTGAACATGCTGTGTGGCACACTTCTCTCTTTGCCTTTGCTCATGCTAGTCCTTCTGTTGGGATTCCCTTTTCAGAATCTGCAAGGTCCGACTTGTTTAGGAAACATTCCCTGAGCTCCTCAGTAGGATCAGTTGCTTGTCTGGGTTCAGATCCTTGCCTTCATGACTCTCTTAGGGTACCTACTATTTTGGATAATAGTTGATTGTGTGCACAGGTAGGCTCTTATGGGCAGTATAATTGGCAAATATGTTGGGTGCAAGAGATTAAAAAAACTAGTTTAAGCTGACTTACACGAAACAGGATTTATTTACTCCTTTAACTAAAATACCCCTTGCAAGAATAGCTGTGACTTAGGAATTAGACACTGTTTCAGGGATCTTGTCCTGCTCTTTGTGGGTTGACTGACATGCTCTGCATGGGTCTCCACGGTTTTGGGCTCATGAATCAACACACTTAGACCATCTCATGAAAAGAGGCAACAATAAACTTAGACCATCCCAGGAAAACAGGGCTCATCCCCCACTTAGACCATCATTAAAGGGGTCATCTCTCACTTAGACCCTCATGAGAGAGAGGGGTCATTCTCCACTGAGACCCTTGTGGAGAGAGGGGTCATCCCCCACTTAGACCTTCATAGGAGCAAGGGGCCATCCCCTACTTAGACCATCATGTGAGAGAGGGGTCATCCTCACTTAGACCCTCATGGGAGAGAGGAAGCATCCCCCTCTGGGACCCTCATGGGAGAGGGATCGTCCCTTACTTAGACCCTCATGGGAGAGAGGGGTCATCTCCCTCTGAGACCCTCATGGGAGAGGGATTGTCCCTTACTTAGACCCTCAGGAGAGAGGGGGTCATTCCCCATTGAGACACTCATGAGAGAGAGGGGTCATCCCTCACTGAGACTGAGACCCCCATGGGAGAGAGGGATCATCCCACTCTGAGACCCTCAAGGGAGAGAGGTGTCATTCCTCACTGAGACCATTTTGAGATAGATGATCGTCACCATATTTAGATCATATCAAGAGAGCTAGACTTTTCCAGTCACTCCTGCTCGATCCTTGGTTTCCCTTGTTCTCTTTGTCCTGATGGTTCATGTGAGTATCCTTGAACCAGTCCTCTAGTCAAAGAATGGAAGGGAATAACTGCTTTAGGCCTAGGGTACAAGTTCCACTGAAATTCAGAGCTGGGGAAAATGGTTTCCTGGAAGTATAATTAGGATGCTTCTTCAGAAGCCAGGGGAACAGATACTGGTCAATCAAAACAATATGTGTCAACAGTGTAGTGAGCTCTTTAGTACAGGGACTGCCGTTTATGCTTCTTTGGTTGCTTCTGTACCTATAGTGGAAGGCAGACATTCAATAAGTTAAATCAATACTTTAACTGCTTGCTTGAGTCTTAAATAATATTCATCTTTTTCTATTTATAAGAGTTATATATGTTCACTTTAGAATGTTGCAAATAATGGAACCACATAAAGAAAAAATTAAAATAATCTGCAGTCTCCCTATCCAGAGATAACACTGTTGACATTTTGGAGTCTTTCCCTTTGCAAAAGGTCATACCACATATGGCATGTTGTCATGTGTTTTTTAACTTTAGCATCTTCTTCTACTTTGTCTACTTTGTCATGACACTTCTCTGAAAATCAGTGTTAATGACTGTAGAATAACTAACAAGGCGTATGTGTGTATTTTCTCTTTATTTAGTGTTACCTGGTTGGTTGTTTTTGTTGGTGAGGAATGGCCTGGCCAGGGAGTAGAAAGGAATGAATTGGATAGAGGGTTGGCTTGGGGAAAGGCAGAAAGAACTTCAGGAACCGGCAGTCCTGGGGGCTTGTGAGCCAGGCTGTGATGGGATGAAATAGAATTGCAGAACAGGAAAGCTGGAAGCAACCAAGTCCTACTTTTAGTATTTTATGTCTATCAGGGGTCTTATGCAGACTAGATGTGGAAAATGGAGTAGCGAGGAAAGAAACTAGAGGCACGAAGGCCAAGTAGGAGAAGAGGGAACATCTATCCAACCAGCAGCCTTCTCTCTATCTACCCACTTGCTTTTTCTTCCAGCCACAGGTTATTACTTCACAACCAAACTCCCTAAAAAGTGTAGAAATTGTATCTGTGTTCTCACCTTCTACTCCGTCTTCATGTTGCTGTCATATGCCTTTCACCTCCATTATCCCACCAACTCACAGTTACTGAGGAACAGTAACATACAGCCATCCAGCTGGCAGACCATTCTCACTCCCATCTCACAGGTCCTCCTGGTGATACTAGACACACCTGGGCATCTGCTTTACCTTGACTTCTATGACCACATCCATCTTGGTTCTTGAGTCACTCTGTCTCCTTTGACAGCTCCAGATTCTCTCCCCAGCTGTAAATATTTGAGTTTCTCAAGGGATAACTTTGAGCCCTCATCTCTTACTCCCAGCTCTTCTGGAGTTGAACACACACATACCCATGGCTTCAGCTGTGTTTCTGTGAATGTGATGCCCACGTTTATATCACTAATCGACACCAGTGCTCTGAAACCCACACCCCGCAACATAGCTACCTACTGAACATCTCCACTTGAATGGCTCACAGGCACTCAGCTCAACAAGGCTCAAAGTGACCATGTGCTCTTCCCCACCTCTACCTCACTGCCAAACCTCACTCACCTCTGGTGTTTCTAAATGATCAGTTGATGTCATCACCTGTCCAGTTGCATTAACCTGAAATCTAGAGTCATCCTTGATACATTTCTGTAATTTGCCCTTTTACCTAGTCCTTCACCCAAGCTCTACTCATTTTTACCTCCTAAGTATATGTTAAGGCTGTCCACTTCTTTCTACCTCTGTTGCCAGCTCTCCAGAATAAGCTGCCTTCTCTTTTGATCTGGACTTCTGCAACAGCCTCCTCACTGCTCCTTCCTTGTCTGCTCAAGTTCTTTTTCCCAATTAGTGTCACCTTGGAAAACCCCAGTCTTTTCATGACATGCCATGTTAAAACACTGAATAGCATCCCATTAGGATAAAAACGAAAGTCCCTAGTGTGTTCTGTCCAGCCCTACATGGCCTGGCTCCTACCTGCCCCACAGCCTTGTCCTATACCACCCTCATGAAAGAGAGGAGCATCCCACACGGAGACCCTCATGAGAGAGAGGGGTCATCCCCCTCTGAGACCCTTATGGGAGAGAAGGGTCATTCCCCACTGAAACCCTCATGACAGAGAGGGGTCCTTGCTCTCTGAATTTCAGCCACACTGATCTTTCAGTTACTCAGCTACACTGTGCTCCCTCTTACTTCATTAATTCAGCAAATATTTAGTGAGTACCTACTGCATGCCTGGTACTGTTCCAAGTATTAGGGATAACATGGTGAGCAAAACAGGCAAAAAGATCTAAGAGTTTACAGACTCTTGGAGAGATGACAGCCAATAATCAAGATAAGTAAATAAAATACACATGACAGCAAAGAGAGTGCTAAGAGCTAAGAAAGGGAAAATATAAAATGGTGAAGAAGATAGGAGGTGCTTGGAGTAAAGGGGGAATTGCCATTTAAATAGGGTATTCATGGAAAACTTTACTAAAAGGGAGGCTCCTAGTTGGGAAAACGTCTATCTGATGGCTTCAGGAAAGAGCAAGGAGTCAGGGGGCTGGAGCAAGGGGAGAGAAGTAGGAAGTGAGGACCAGATCATGAAAGTCCTTTTTGGGCTCTCTAAGGATGAGATGGGGAGTCATTTGGGGTGGAGGAAATGCTCTCATTTGGGTCCTGACAGGGTCTCTCAGGCTACTGTGTTAAGCAGAGACTGCAGCTTCAGGGGCATGCCCAAAAGCTGAAAGCTCAGGACAGAGGCTGGTACCGTCATCCAGGTGATAGAAGGTGGCAGCTTGGACTGAAGTGGCAGGACAGAGTCAGGGAAGATGTTGGGATTCTCCATGCATTTCAAACTTATTATTCACTCCACTTGGAGTGACCCCTCCTTATCTACTTTAAGTAAATCATTTGTGGTCTCATTACCCCCAGCAGGAAGCCCTGACGTCGCAGTCCAAAGTAGGACCTCCTTTTCTACTTTTGCCTGATTCCCTGTCTTTTCCTTCCTGGCATTTATCATGCTTTGAAATAAGAACGTGCACTCCATGAATTCACGTATCATGTCTGTTCTCACCACTGGGTCCCTAGCCCAGGACCTGGTCCAGTATTTAGGGAGAGAATCAAAGAAGGGAGACAGGAATTGGCACTGGCAACTAAGAACTGTGTCAGGCCCTTTATGATCATGATCCTATCAGTTCCTCACAAGCATCCAGAAGGAAGGTGTCATTGTCTTCTTTCTAAAGATGAGGGAACTAAAACTTACAGAGGATAAGTGACCTGTCCCGATCCCACAGCGTCACAAGCTGGAGCGGAGCTGGACTGGAACCTGGTTAACTTTGCTTTCGTTCTTGATGCTTCCATGGTGCCCTCTCCCCAGCTACCATTCTGTCATGGGTGCTTACTGCAAAGCTGCAGGCCATTTTCTCCTTGACCTTGACCTTGGATGCTCTTTGCCTTGGGTTCCACACTTATCCCATGTGCCTGGGAGTCTCACTGCACTTAGAGGTGTAGTTTCACAGTGGCTGCTGCGTGACTGCCTTTTCTCTTTTCCTTTTCTTCTAGCTTGCTCTTAGCCTTATAGAGCTGGGCACTGTTACCCAGCCTTAGTTGACTATATATCCCTCTGTCCTGTGGGAAAACCATGCAGATCTGGTTGTTCACTGTCACTGCCTCTCCTTGGGCAGCAGCATCGGCTTGTCCTGAGTGCCAGTCCCTGCTGTGCTAAGTGGTAGGGTGCGCTGGCCTGTGTGGCCTTTGAGCTGCTTCCTGTACCTGCATCTCAGGGCTTCCCTTTCTTGTCATCCTGTCTTATCTTAGGCATTGACTTCAGTCCTTCATTTTCCTCCATTGGCCTTGTCTTCACGATACCAAGAACCCTGCTGAACTCATCTTTCTGTTCTGCTGATTAATTGTCTTTCTGAAATCCACTCTTTTGCTCCACTGGCCACATCAAGCCCAGATCCTATCAGGCCTGTTCTTAGCCTTGAGTCTCTGATATATATATTTCATGTTTGTTATTCTCTCTGATCTCTGAGCAAGGTGGGAAGAGACGTTTCTCCTTCTCCAGTGAAAATAATTCAGATAGACAGGGCTTGCTGACTCTAAGGAGTGAAGAAAGGGGTTAACACAATTTGAGCTACAAGACTGGAGACAAGTTGGAAGGATTGAAATAGTACAGTTTTTTGGGGAAGAGACTGGTGAGCTTTTCATTATCTCTAAAATTGGAGGCAGCAATAGTGTGAAAAATCCACAAACAGTGGTAAAGTATTGAACATCCAGGTTGGATTAACGAGATTTGGATGTGAGCCTTCCAATTGATATCCTAACTATACTGTAATTTAAAAAAAAATTTTAATATAACATGTCACAAATGTGTGTGAGAATAATGAGATGTTGTGTAAGTGCTTTGTGAATTTGAAAGTCTTTCACAAGTATGAATTATTGTGTAAGGATATTGAAACAGTATTTTCAAGGACACAGCTTTTCTTTCTCTATTTTTATTGCAAGAATATAGTATCTTAGTCAGTTGTAACTAGATTCAGTGGTTCAGATTAGGAATTTAACTATTTGTTCTTTATCTGTATGGGGAAATGTGCCCTAATTTTTAACTTTCCCCTCCCCAGTAGTTTGCAAGGTCCAGGGAAATCTCTGGGGCTCTCAAGGGAAAAGGATTTTAAAATATGAAAGACTTGCATGCAGATAATTGAGAATTGACTAGTTTATAATTAGAGGAATTCCTGGGGAAAAGAGAAACTAACAGAGAAATTCATGTACAGTGTATATTCTCAGTATTTAAATATTTATTTTTAACTTTGTAATTTTTCTTTTGCAGAAACTCTGGGTGGTTTGGATACTATTGTCAAGATCCCTCCACATGTACTGAGGTAGGAGATGGACATTGTATAATATCACAGAAGTCAATATTGCCCATTGAAGGCCCAGATAACCACATTGATTTACAGTGTGTCTTAGTTTGTTTTGTGCTGCTATAATGGAATACTACAGACTGGGTGATTTATAATGAACAGAAATTTATTGGTTCATGGTTCTGGAGGCTGAGAAGTCCAAGATCAAGGGGCCACATCTAGCGGGGGCCTTCTTGCTGCATCATCCCAAAGGTAGAAGGACAAAAAGAGGGTGGAACAGAGAAGAAAGAAGGGGACTGAATGCACCCTTTTCTAACAAAGCCCCACTCCTGTCATAACCGCATTCATCCATTCATGGGGCAGAGCCCTCATGGCCAGATTACCTCTCATTAAGCCTGATGTCCCAATACTGTTGCATTGGGGATTACGTTTCCAACACTTACTTTTGGTGGGGACACATTCAAACCATAGCATAGCATTTTACTTGCTGACTAAAGGCTTTCTTGCACCCATGAGCTGGGATATTTCATGAGGTTAGCATGATGTGAACCTAATTGCATTCACGCCACCTGTCTGTGGAGGGAATGAAATCAGTGACCTAAAGGAACCAGCCATGGAAGTCCATGGTAAAAGGATCAAATTGGTCAAGGAGAGACATGATCAAAACTTATGTGAAGGAGTAGAAAGAAAATTGCACTCCCTCTGATGGGGATGCACCCCTACACCAGGTAGTGTGGATTTAAGCTCTGATTGGCAACCCTGGATGGACATCATCTTACTGGTTGTGAAGTCCACAGCCAGATGCAGCAGCCCAGAGATAGGGAGCCTATTTCCCCACCTTCTTCACCTTCCCCTATACCTTCCCCCAACCCTCACTGGAAGAGAAATGCCTGCCCTCTGTAGAAAAATTGGAAAGAACAATAGAATAAAAAAGAAAATTGTTCATAACTTTATCACCTAAGGATGATCACTGAAAACAGTTTAATAGATTTTCTTAAATGTCTTTTTCTATACACATATATTTTTATAAATTAATATAAAATTTTATTCACGACTTTGTTGCCTGCTTGGTTTTTTTTACTCAATACCATATAGAATGTTTTCTAATGCCAGTATATGTTCTTCAAATTAAAATGTTACATATACTTCCACTATATGGCTGTAGCATAATTCATTTAGCAGTTTTCCTGTTGTTTAATAACATTTGGGCTGTTTCCAGGGTTTTCTTTGGGATTATAAAATATATTGGACTATAACCCTTTGCTGAGTATGGTTTCTGTGTTCTCAGGATACTGTGATTAGATATTTTCTCTCTTTTTAAGTAGATTGAACAAAATTTATATTTCTATCTTTTTAAAAAATTCATTACTTTTCCTGTAGTAGCTGCATAAACCTGTAGGTTTACATATTGTAAGGGAATCCGTGTGTTAAACTAAGTATATTTTTGTGTGTACAAAGCTTATACATGAACAGAATGTTTGGCAACAACATGTTTGTCTAGTTGAGAGGTGGTACAGCTGGAGTGTCCAGCGCATAGGAGGATGCGAGGACTTTCTATGAGCTGTGAAGGCATGGATAGTTTAAAGAAGGCAATTTCCTGGCTCCCAACTTCTATAAGTTCCCTTTCTTAAAACTGATTTGCTTCAAAACTGACGTTGCCACGTCTCCTTTTCCACCTCACCTTTTACGGTCACTCTGCTCTTGCTTGACAGAGAAAACCACACCTGTTACCCACCTGTGTCTTACAGTAGTGTGTCGCCCTGGGGTACAGAGATCTTGTCCCACCCACAAAGAACTATGAACATACTAGTGTCCATACAGGTAAAGGAAGTGATTATAAGGACCAGGAAACACATCATTTTTCAAGTTAGGTAGTTTTAACTTCTTGGCTTTCAGCAATGTTGAAGGAACTATAAGATGAAAGACGAAAAGATTTTTTTTGATGATGTCTCCTTCATTCCCTTATTATTTCTGTAAACAAGGTTTCTTACTGCTTACAACTATAAAGGTAAAGAATTGATATGTAATTTGTGCTAAATTCTACCTTATTGTATAGCAATAGAAAATACTTCTCCATAGGCATATGAACTAGCTGGGGGAGATATAAACAAACTCCATTTCTTTAGCAATGTATTTTTAATAAAAGTATATTTTCTATGCTAACCATATTGACATTTGATAAATAATTATTAATGTTCTTTGGACCAATTTCGTGCATTAGTAATGATTACTTATAATTGAACATTTTAAAGCCTTATGGTTACAGGAAATATTTAAAAAATTACTTTATACATACTTTTTCTTAAGAGAGAAGCACAGTATGGAGAGTAGTAAAAGGCTTTCTAGCATTAAAATATATTGGAGAAAATTATTTGGGGAAAATGGAATGGAAATATAATAAGTTCAAGAAGAAAAATAACAATACAGCATTTTTTACTGTTAAAGAAGAGTTTGTTCACCTTTTTTGATGGATGAAGGTGTTTTTCAAATTGCTGTCATATTCATGAGATAAATTTAAAGAGTGATATGTTTTAATTAAAATTTTTAATAATTCCAGTATTCCAGAATTACAGCCTTCACAATTAAAATTGTGATGAAAAAATTTGAATGCTAACTTAAAACACGTGAAAAACAGAATCTTAACCTTTTCTTAGTGACTGTTTGTAAAAGAGTTTGATAAACTCTGCTCTAAAGGTTGTTTCCTTTAGAAACAACGTTTTCTTTTAAACGATCCAAAGTGGTGTTTAACCCAGCGGTGAGGTTTTCTGTGGTTCCCGGTTTGTGATAAAAGGTCGGTCTTCAGTGTGAGGAGCAACAGAAGAGGCTTCTGCTCCACTGGCTGGGAATGTTTAATTGTTGGGCACATACATATATTTAGAATTGTTATAGTCTCTTGCTTAACTGATCCCTTTATCATTATATAATGACCTTCTTTGTCTAGTGTTCATGTGTATGTGTGTGGCCAGAAGAGTTGGAGAGAATATGGTTTCAGTGTCTCCAAGGACATATTTTTGGTTCTCCTTTTACTTATTTGGCTTTATTTTATTCAGTGATCTTTTGCTTTACCCCAGAGCCAGCTACCTATCTTGTGCACCTACAGGAGCTGTTGACAAAATTGGTGGGAGGGGTGCCAGATGAGAGACTATGGATGAATATATGCATATGTACATTTCTTTACATATTTTTACCATTATTAGAAATTCAACTCAGAGTATTTCCCCTAATGATGAAGATTATCCTAATGTACAAAGATATATCATCTTACTATTCAAAAGAATGGACATTATTATGTTTAGATGCACAATGAGATCATCAAGCATTCTTGTACAGAGAATTGAACGATATGAATGAGACACAGCAGATATGAGCCTTGCAAAGTTTTTTTGTTTGTTTGTTTGTTTGTTTGTTTTTGAGATGGAGTCTCGCTCTGTCTCCCAGGCTGGAGTGCAATGGCATGATCTTGGCTCACTGCAAGCTCCGCCTCCCAGGTTCACGCCATTCCCCTGCCTCAGCCTCCTGAGAAGCTGGGACTACAGGTGCCCGCCACCAGGCCCGGCTAATTTTTTGTATTTTTAGTGGAGACGGGGTTTCGCTGTGTAAGCCAGGATGGTCTCGATCTCCTGACATCGTGATCCGCCCGCCTCGGCCTCCCAAAGTGCTGGGATTACAGGCGTGAGCCACTGTGCCCGGCCTCAAAGCTGTTTTTTTAAAAACAAATTTGAAGGAGGAGAATGAAGATACACAAAATGGAAAACATTGTGATGTGGTAGCAAATGTAAATGTATTAGAGACTTTTATACATATAAGGAGGTTTCAGTTTGTGATTCACAATAGTGGGGAACCTCTCAAAGCCTCTTCTAAGATACAAGAAGAAGCCATAATTAGAGCAGAAAAGAGACTGAATCAATACTAGTCTGATTTACTATTCCAGGTTATCATTAGGGAAATGATATAAAGAGGAGACATATAGTAATGGGCTTTTCTGCCTGTGTTGTAAATCAGTCCTTCTTTAATCCTTTGATTCCTCTTAGAGACACTTTAAACCAAGAGAGCATTTACTCTGTTAAATCATTATGTGTAACATGGCATCCTTCTATTTGAGCATCTGCTAAAAAAAAAAAAAAATCCAGGCACTGTAAATATTTGCTCATTGAGGAGAATTTGGATATGTTATTTTTTCTTCCATTATGCTTACATCTAATATATGGGAAAGAAGCCAAGTTTATAAAGTATGTCTTGCATTTTTCTGATTTTAAATTCAGATTTAGTTTTCATTTCTGTTACATAATCACCTGGAGGTGATTATTTGCAGATTTTAAAAATTGTTTGTTTTGGAAAGGGCTAAGGGATCATTCATAATCTTGAATACCTTTGCTATGCTTTTTCCTATTTTTTTCCTTTTGATTTGTTTATTTCACGTTCAGTGTAGTCCCATTCTCATAATTACTAATATTGTTTTTGGTCAGTTGTGTGTGTTAGTAGTGGTAGCTTAAATCAGAAGAACCCTTGAAGAGCCTGTGTTGAAACTGAATCCTTGAGAGACCTATGTTGTGTTATCTTTCCTTTTGCCATTGATTGCTCTAATGACTTTTGAATGATTTAAGTGACTGGTGACTGGATTCAGTTATGCATAGAGCATTCTAAGGGAGATATTGATGATAAAACATTTTAGATGTAATTAAGGAGGTCAAGAGACACTGCTTATTTATGCCCAAGGCTCTGTCACTGATCAAATGCTCACTCTCATTGTTGATGTGGTGAGCAACAAGGGTAGGAATTAATGCAGAGCCCATTGATATTCAGTGTCATGGAGGGAGGAAGGTCCAGGGAATATGTGTTATGGAATATTTCCTGACTTTATTAGTGGCTAGTCATGTGAAAATCTTTCCACCTTGCTACCCTTAGTCTTGCTTTTGATTTGGGGGTGGGTTTTAAGGGTCCTTATCTTTCTCCATGAGGAGACTGCACCCTTGCTATCTTTGCTTCTCTTTTCCCTTTTCTTAAACTTCAAGGTCTTC